TTAAAATTAATCTAAATTTATTGAAGAATTTAAGTATATTATTTTTTCACAATTATATAACGTGTTATACTTGGAAAAAAAAAAAAAGACAGAAAGGCCATGGTGGAAGGGTCTGGCAGAGGAGAGCTGCTTACATGGTAGCTTCGAAGAAGCAGAGAGAGAAGAGGGCATCTGGGGAAGGAGATGCATCCTTCTAGGTCACAGACTATCTCCTAATGCACACTCAGCTACGGAACACATCAGTGGATGAATCCACGGATAAATGTAGCAGTCCCATGATCAAATCACCTTCCCAAAGTCCTGGCTCTGACTGCATGAGAATCTGGGGAGCCTTTCTAGACCCAAACCATAACACTGGGTGTTTCCCCTGCCCACTACCCAAAGCCACTTTGCCTTTGCTCCAGGATATTGGAACTTCAGTTCCTGAACCTTCTTGTTTACCCTTGGCGTTAATGTCTATTGCTCTCATCTTGGAATACAAGGTGGGGGGCTGGAGGGAGGGAGGGAGAAACAGAGAGAGAGAGAGAGAGAGAGAGAGAGAGAGAGAGAGAGAGAATATCAAAGCTTACACAATTCCCTTGGAAGGAACTTTCTTTATCGTTTACCTTGAAGGATTGCAGTACAGGTCAGAGGGATTTTAGGGATGGAAACTCCAGTTACTGGATGATTTAGGATGCCTAGAGCGTCAAGCCAAGTGGGGCACTCTGGGCAGCAATAAAGAGGAAAAGGAGCAATTGAAGTTCAAATATTTCTTTTCCACATTATTCATGTGACAGCAACTCAGTGTGATAAATACCTTAACCACAGAGGTAGCAAATAAGTTGTTAACACAAATGCCAAAGCCATTCAGTTCCAGGAACACCAAATTGAAAAAAATCCCAAGGCAAACTCTGAGCTCTGCAGGAGAAACAGAATTGATAATTGATTAGTGATGTCTGCTGTGGCTAGGTACAGATAACTGAAATATGTGTGCCAAGCAGTTCTCATTCCTTTTTGAATTCAATCCTGCCCTTGGTTTTGTCCTCAGATGAGATGAGTAATTCAGATTCTCCTGGCTGATACGCTTCTCATTCTTCCCACTGTGCTCATAGCACTCAGTTTATACTTCTGGAACCACATTTGCCACAGCCTCTCTCGTGCCTGCATTAGTCACTTGTGTGTCTGTCTCTCTCCTTAGCTCACTCTCCTGAGGACCAGGGCAAGCCTATTTTCTTATTTCCAAACCCACTGTGCTACATGGAGTGGGCACCCAGATTGCTTAGGGAACAGAATGTTAGTGGAGCCCAGGACATGAGCCAATGGAGAATCCATAAAATACAGCCAGGGAAGGGAAGCTCTGGAGAGGGAGGGAGCCAGGTATGTAGAATCATCCACGTCACTTACTGTCCTTTGTATTCATTTTCTATGGCTACTGTAATAAGTCACCACAAACTTAGTGGCTGAAAACACAGATGTATTATCCTATACAGTTCTGTAGATTAGAAGTTCATGGCAATGCCACATTCTTTCTAGGGGCTCTGGGAAAGAATGTCTATCTGTGCTTTCTCCAGTTACAGAGGCTGCCTGCTTTCGTTCTATCTTCTAAGCCAATAAGAGAGCATCCTCCAATCTCTTCCACCACTCTTGAGAACTCTTGTGTTTATATCAAGCCAGCCAGGGATCATCCTGCAGAGTCTCTCTTGTCAAAGTCAGCTGGTTGGCAGCCTTTATTCCATCTACAACTTTAATTTTCTATTGCCATGTAAAGTAGCATGTTCCTAGGTTCTGGGGGTTAGGATGGGACATCTTGGTCTGCCTGCCACATCTTCAAATAAACCTACAGATGACTCTGACCTCCAGCCAGTGGATTTAGAGGACATGTCTCCTGACTCAGAGTCAAAGTGCCCTTTTCCTGTTTCACAAGGGTTAGGGTCCATGGGTATGGTGAGGGCCACTATGCTCCCATCCATCACAATGAATGGCATTGTGGTTGCACCAGCTGAGATGTGAGGTGCCTATAAGCCCCTACAGCATTGTCTATTCTGGAAACTTCAATAGGAAGCAAGGTGGGATATCCAGTTGCCCCAGGGAGTTTTCTTCATCCTCAAGATACTTCCCTTTCTGTTTGGGGATCTCCAGCAAAACTTGTCCAGTGATGGAATCCTTTCTGTACACACATGCACACACATACTTGGAGCTTTTAGTGGAACAAAAGTCCCTGAGGTGAAGAATTACAAAAGGTCCAACTACTTCCTTACAAATGGGGTGGAGGAGGGAGAAACACAGAAAAGGAAACATATATTAATACCTCAGAAATGTCTCAGGCCACACCTCTTGCCCAGTTTTGCCCAGGGACTATCTCAGCTCCATAAATGCCTCATTACCACCCTGCTTGGGGGATGCTTCCCATCCGGGTCATAGGAATTGGATAATATCTAAGCCCTAGGCAGGAGGCAGCTCCCCTGTCCACTGGCTGTGATATGGTAAATGCCCAGGCCAGACTGGGCACGTCAGAGCATCCCTAGGAGCTGAGGAGTGTTTACATGGCTGGCAAGGAGGCTGCCTCAGTGTGAGAAGGGGCCTGTTTAAAGTGGAAGGCCCAGAAGGATTTATGGAGGGCCAGCTGCTGAAATAGAGCCGTCATTAAGGAGCGATGGGCAGCCACTTGAAGTGGGAATATTTAGTAATGACATGAGCACAAACCTTGGTCAGGGAGGGCCTTCCTAGAATGTGCTGTTTTCTGTTTGCTTTGTGGGAGAGGAGAGTCCCTTGGCTTTTTTGGAAAATGGGAAAAAAGATGTGAGTTTAGTGCTGGTGAGAGGCAGAGGAAAGCCCTGAAAGCAAAAGTCCTTCATGTAGCCCCAGAGGCACAGGTGGGCCCTGGCTGTGACCCTGTGGCCTGCTGTAGGGCCGAGGCTTGGAGGAGAAGCCCACAGGGTAGGCAGGCCCTGGAGACTTACCCAGGTAAATCACGCCACTCCAGAGCCAGGGAGAGAATTCTGGTTTTTCCATCTTGCCTGTACTTCATTTTACTTGCAGAGACAAGAAAGACAAGCTTTTCCTTTTTCCTTTTTAGATTTCATTTAAAAATTTCAAACACTCTTAAAGACCTTGCAGTCTAAGACTTAAACAAATACAATTTCCATATATGCTACTTCAGAGTATTTACAAACTCAGTAGTTGTGCCATAAATAATTTCCTTAATGCATTCCTGCAACTGGGGACCCCATGTATTGTGGTCATGTTGCTTGGGTCTGCTCAGTATGCTTTTCTTTGGGGGAATACCTCTGCTTCATCCTTGCTCTGATTCTTCTGTCAGTCTTGGACTTTTCATCTTCCTCCAAAAAAATGGATGTATAACTTAAAGTGAACACTGTGATTGGTCAGGGGTAGACACGTGACCAGGGCTTGTCCAGTGATAGGACCACTTTCCCTGGATGTAGTGATTGGTCCAGGATGAGCACATGACCGAGGGAGTACACATTCTGATTGGTCAAGGGGAGACACATGACCCAGGCTTAACCAATCATAGGACCACTTCCTCTAGATACACTGATTGGTCCAGAATGACCACTTGATCCAGGCAAGAGTGAAGAGTGCATTTGGGGACTGGATGTCCATTAACTTGAAGAGAGGTATGCTTTCTACTGCAACGGTTAAACTGGACCGTCTTACCTGGCCATGGGAAGTAGCTTGTCTAGAGTAGGAGAGAACAGAGACCTGGCAAGTGTGAAACAAAATGGACACAGGGAAGGCAGAGAGAACAAGACATCATTCATGCCCTGGAACAGAAGTAAACTTAGAGTTGGTAACATAACTGGGCTTGTTTGTTGGGTGAGTTGAGAAATTCTCTTTTCATATTTAAGCTTTTTTGAGTTGAGTTTCTGTCATTTACAACCCAAAGAGTCCTGACACATTTGGCAAATACATTTTTTTAAAATGAAAAGACACTTTGTATATCCGAATGAGCATTTAAAATTCTATTTTCCCAATCTCTTTCCCTTGCTTATAATAGCTCAATTCTTTGTTTGCTGCATGTGTGCCTAATTCATCTGTAAATCCCCATATGTCTTATAACACAGAGACCAGGCCGCCTGTTCTTATCTCTGTCTCCTCAGCAGTGTCTCACCCCAGCTCCTTTGGCCAGCTCATGCAGCTGAGGAACAGCTGGAAGGAGACACCCTGTTGCTGATGGTAACATGGCCATTATAAGAATGGAAATCTGTGACATGGATTTTGTGTCCTTATGGTGGCAGGGAAGCCCCAGAATAGTGCAATAGGAGGAACCTTAATGACTGGAAGTGGGGTACCATGTAGTAGTGTAGGGCATGATTTCAGGAAGCAGAATGATGGCACCATCTCAGAGCTATCACTTACCAGCTAGTGTAAAGTTGGACTTCTCTGTGTACCCTGTTTCTTACCAACCTTATCTGTCCAATGGTCCTGATAATGACATCCAACCATTAGACTGGGCAGAGCATTCCACTGATACTATTCTTACTAATTGGACCCTAAAGCCCAGAAATACACTCCTTTTGCCCAGAATCTCACAAAATCTCTTGTGAAATCCTAGTCACCACTTTGCTAGCTATGTAACTTTTGTGAATCATTAAGTGTTTCTAAGCTCAGTTTTCCAACAGGAGAAAAGAAGATAACAACACCTCCCTTACAGGATTACTGAGGACTGGATGAAATAGTGCTAGTCAAATGCTGTGTCCACAGTAAGTACTCAGGGCACATGCGCTATCGAGGTGACAATTACAATAGCTCTTTCCCGGGAGATTAATATTGACCCATTTCAGCTATCTTTGCAAGTTGCAAATTTCTCCCAAGTGTGAGGCATGGCAGGGGGCTCTCAGCCTAATGTAGCATCAGAAATTCCATTTCTGGCATATTCCTCAACTCTTACACTTGCATGCACCTGCACACAAACACACACACACACACACACACACACACTCGGGACCTTGTGCTGGGGGCTTTGCATTTTCATGGGCAAGAGGCTATTGCTGTTACAACTGCTTTGAATATTTTCTATTTGCTCCTTACCTATTTTAATTCAAGTGGAATATCCTGATGCCTTGTTCAATGTGTTATTTCCTTGTGCAGTGTTGCACAATGCCCTCTTCTCCATTTTCCAGGTCAGGAAATGTATTTCCTTGATACTTCCTTGTTCCTTTAAAAGGTGCTTATCTTAAAGGGTTCAATTATAGAGAAATAAATTAATATAATTTATTTTAATGTAACTGGCTTAAGACATCAAATTTTACCTTTAACCAAACTGAAGTTTTGATGCAATATTTACTTGATAATTGACTTTGTATAGATTTAAATGTACTAACATTATGCTAAGATGCTTTGGTATCTATTTCTGTCTCTGTCTCTACCTGTACCTCTCTCTATGATTGTTCCCTGTGCTGGGCATCAAACCTAGGGCCTCGTACATGCCAGGCAAGTATTCTACCACTCAGCTATACTTTCATCTCTTGGTATATTTATTGTCTCCCTCAGAAAAATGCTAATGCTACGGGAACAAAAGATTGTTAAACTTTTATTTGAAAGACAACTGATAGGTTTGGTAGAGTCAAGAAATGAAATAAATCAATATATAAATCAATATATAAATCAATATATATGGGGATATTTAAACATGTTTGTGAACCAGTTTTTTCAAGGAGGAAAAGAATGAAGAACTGGGAGAAGCAGAGGTATTTCTGAGCCATCTCGGTAGAGAGGACAAGAAATCACAGTCTAAACCTAGACCTGTGGAAGGATGGAGAGAGAACTCAAGTGGAGAAGAAAGCATTCTCCTCGAAGGATGCTGATGCTGGCTCTGGCTCCCTTGGGGGCAGAGAAACCATTTGCACATCTGCCCTCAAGCTTGATGGGCAGGCGGACCTGGGAGCAAATGAAAGATCCATTCATACGGCTCTTTTCATCCTTGAGTCAAGAAGGCCTGCTCAGTGCCCAGGTCAATGAGCCGTGGTGTAACCGCAGACGGCAGCCACCTCTGAGATGAAACACAAACCCGGGGTTCTTGCCAGAATATTCCACCAAGGGGGTGGGCGGCCACCACATACATCTCCAAGCAGTCATGAGCCACATACTAATGTATCTCTATCTCTGCCAAATGGTTTGGCCCTGTAGGGCTCAGACTCCCATTTTGTCCTTTCTGCCTCATGTGTGTCCCTGCAGTTTTCCTTCCCAGCTGAGTTGGGAAGCAGGATGGGTCAGTGTCATCAGCCCGGGATTTAGAATCAGACCAGACGTGAGCTCAGCAGAGTGCCCTGATGGTCAAGAAGAACTTGGAGCCAGATGTAGTGATGTGCGCCTTGCTCCCAGCACTCTCGGAGCCTTTGGCAGAAGGACTGCAAGCTTGAGTCTGACCTGGGCAACTTAGTGAGAGAGACCCTGTCAGAAAAAGTCTTTAGGGCCGGGGATTTAGCTCAGTGCTTTCGCCACCTGCTGCACAAGCACAAGGACCCAAGTTCAATCCCTGCCCCCCCAAAAAAAGTCTTTAGCTCAGTGCAAAGGCCTGGGTTCAGTCCCAGTGTAAAAAAGAAGAAGGGGGCAGGACACAGGAGCGGAGGGGAGGGAGGAGAAGGAAGAGTAGTTTGGCGTATACATTTGAGCGTTTCAATTTTAAGATTCCTTCTGGGCCTTCGTTTCCTCATCGATCAAATAGTACCTGCCTTATAGGTTTGTTGGGAGAATAAAGGAGATAACACAGAGGAGGACCCGACACAGACATCGGTACACAGTAAGTCCTTAGTACAGGAGATGCTCCCTCGTCCTTGGGGATGTATTCCAGGATCCCCTCCCACCCCTACCACGGCAGTGGATGCAGGAAGCTGTAGGTGGTGTGGAATTTAATGTCTTTTGGGGCTCACCTGGAAGTGCTTTGTATTAAGCCCTGACCATGCCCTGTAGCACTAACTTTTGCACTTTGAGGTGTGACAGCAAAACTAGCATCAACTTCTTTTTCTTCCTTCACGATCTCATAGATAAAAGATCCGTTCTTACTGTGGATCATAGCAACATCAGTACATGATTTTTTTCTTATCCACCAGTTAATTGTCAACTTGCCTGGATGAAAAGGCTTCTGGAGGTGATTGGAATGTGAGGCCACTGATGCCATCCCTGGGTCAACCCTCAGAGGAGTTCATAGTTGAATGGCTATTAGAAGGTGGTGGAGGAAGTGGGTCCTGGGGCATGGCCTTGTGGAATGCATCTGGTCGCTGGCCCCTTCCCTCATTCTGTTCTTTCCAAACCACTCTGCTTCCTGGCTGCCATGAAGTGAGCAGCTCTCTCCCACCACATCCTTCTGCCATGACGTCTCTACCTTGCAGCCGGACAACCATGGACCCAAACCTCTGAACCTAGGAGCCAAAGCAAACCTCTCCTCCATTAAGTTACAGGTGTGAGGTATTTTTTCCTAGCAACAGGAAAATGAACACACCTTACTAAGTTGAGACCCTTTACCTCTTCACCAAAAAACCCCAAGCACTTTGTGGCTTCTCTTTGGCATACCCAAATTGCCAGCATCACTACTATTGTGCTTTAGGGACAGTATTGTGTAAAATAAAACACTGTGATATTGCAAGTCAGTTTGATAGCCAAGATGACTGCTCAGGGATGCAAGGGCAGGTGGAGTAGACAACACAGATATACTGGGCAAAAGGATAATGCATATCTGGACAGGCAGGAATGGGGTGGTGCAAGGTTTCATCACACTACTCAGAGTGGCATGCAATTTAAAAGGATGACTTGTTTGTCCCCGGAATTTCCCATTTAATATGAGTAACTGAAGCTATGGGAAGCAAAACTGCAAATGGGGGGGGGACTGCTGTATCTATTAGCTACTATTATTTGTATTTTATTGTGATCACTGGAGTAAATGTGCAGCCTTCCAAGGTTTTAAATCACTCCATAACTAGCTTCCTGTGAAATGTTAAAAATAAGCCTTATTAAAAAATAACTTCCATGTATTGCAATCCCACATCAACATTAGGATATGAAGCCCTTTTTAAATTTGAGAATGATAGGGGCAAAGCAATTAAAAACGTGGAGATAAAACAAATTTTGGCTCAGTTCTCCTCCCCAGCAAC